CGAGGAGAAAAGAATGTGTTTAACCTGAACCCACAGATGCTTGCTGCCGGGGGTGGGGGGGTGATCAATATGTGTATCACCCTCAGGCTCCGGAAGTCCCTGGCACCCTGGCGTATTGACCTAAGAGAAATCCTGTGGAGAAGCAGGTTGACCTTGTTTCAACCCACCCGCCCCAACCTGCTATTCCCCTGGGACCCTTTGGCACACTTGCCATGATTCGTCGAAAGTCAGTTCTTTCCATCATCCTGGTCGTTCTTGTAGTCATTAGACCCGCATGCAAATGAGTTTTCACTGTCAGTGTGACGGGGAGAACGATCCCAAGGATGACTTCTCTATATTTTTCTGAAGATGGAGGAGTGCTCCTGCTGCTCTTTAGGGACTTGTTATTAGAATTCTCTAGAGAAAACTTGATCTTAGCCAAAGGCTGAGAAACGATTAGAGAAACGGAATTAATAGAAAACGTATGTATAATACATCAGGGATTGTTAGGTGGGCTTATGGAGGAGGGAGATTGGAGGAGGGAGAGTATGCAATGGCCATCTGCATGCTGGGGAGCCACAGATCCAGCAGCTGCTTAATCTAAAATGGCAGCTGCAGAACAAGAGGGATCAAGGTTGCAGCACCTGTCCGAGGTCAAAGGCCTGAAAGCTCACTTGGGATCACAAGTCTTAGTTGAAAGGCTGAAGAAACTGAGACTTGGAGACCAGAGTCAATGGCAACAAAGGATGGACCCTCTCAGAAAGACTGTAGTTCTTCAGAAGGAGGCAGCTTCCTTCTTCTTTCCCCTTTTATTCTGTCCAGGCTACCAGCCTATTGGTTTCTGCCACGCACAACCCAGCAGTGTCTTCCTCACTCAATTTGCTGATGGACATGCCAATCATCTATGGACACTCCCAGCACTATGCTTTATTAATCTACTAGCAGTTTCTAATCCATTCAAGTTGACATATCATGACTAATGGTCACATTCATGGAGCTCATTTCCCAGGAACTCTTCCTCTTTGTTTAAAAAATGAACACATAATAATCTTTATCTAAACTACTCTTCAAGCCAGGCATGGTGCCGCATGCCTGTAATTCCAGCACTTGGGAGGCTGAGGTAGGAGGATCGCTGTGAGTTCGAGACCAGCCTGGGCTACATAGTGAGTTCCAGGTCAGTCTCAACTACGTAGTGAGACCCTGTCTCAAAAAACCAAAATAAATAAATAAAAATAAACTACTCTTCATATCTTCCCAATCCAAGCCTTTCAAGATCTTCTTTTGAGAAAGGTTCCAGCCTGGTTGTAGCTGTAGAAGAATCCACAATGGGGGTCTTCAGCAGGGAGAGAAGCTCTTGGAGTTAGATCATCCTCGGCTCTTCTCAGGTCCTTGAACTATGTGAAGGACACAGTCTATGACCTCCCATTTCCCCCTTTCCCCTCTTTAACCAGGATCACCACGGTGTCTCAGGCTACACTGGACTCCATAACCTCACATTTTAAGAGTGTGTACTTTCATCTTTTAGGATAGTAAATACTTGCCTATAAATACAGAGCTAGACTGTACAATGTCTAGCTGAGACTATAAGAGATGAAGCATTTTGGGACTGGGGATTTAGCTCAGTGGTTTTGCCACCTGCCTCGCAAGTGCAAGGTCCTGAGTTCGATCCCTGGTACCAAAAAACCAAAAAGAAAGAAAGCATTTTTGATATAATGGAAATTTTAATCCAGATAGCTATTAACCAAAAGCCACATTAGTAGCTAGTATTTTGTTTCGTTCCTTTTTAATGTTCTCTTTTGAGCCAGCCAGGAAACCAAGGTGTGGGGAAGCAAAGGGGGTCTTTGAATGGGCTCAGCCCCCTGGAAAGAGTGGGCTTGGTCATTGGGGAAACAGACACACACTGCAGAGGAAACTAGCCTGGGGGCAGCTCATCTGTCATCTGTGCTTTGTTCAAGGCCAGTCTTGCTAGAAGGTTGCCATTGCAACCTCATCCCATCTCCATCCTGGGGTATACTTGATCCTGAGCCCATCTTCCCTCTCCACCCTGTCACTTCTCCATCCACCCCTGGACTCCTTGGCCACTCCTGGACATTCTTATGACCTGCAGTTGCTCTGCCTTCAGAGGACGTCTGGGTACAACCTCCTGCCCCTCCAGCTTGTTGGTGTGACTGCTGCCGTCTGGCCTTGCCGGCACTCGGCAGAATTGACCCTCCAGGCCTCGGGCCTCTCCTGTGCTTGTTGCCTTCCCTGTATTTACATTAGAGCCCATGGCCCATCATTTCGAGTAGTCTCTTGCCAATACTCACTTTCAAACTTGTTGGCCTCAACCCTTGTGAAGAAATAATACAGATCACCCAGCACTCACCTGCATACAGCTATACATACACACTCGTGTATGTGTATGCTTCTTCCGATTTTAATTCAACCACAGCCATTTAAAACTTCCTCCCTGAACATCAGTTCTTACAACTACAGCCCTATAGACTCACTTCTCTTATCTTCATCAGGCTGTTGTCATAGTCATTTATGTGAAATGGTTTCCTGTGGCTGCTGTGGCGAATTATCACGAACCTAGTGGCGTAGAACAGCGCACAGTTCTGGAGGTCAAAGTCTCCAATGAAGGTGTTGGCCAGGCTGTCTTCTTGTTTTTACCATTTCTAGAAGCTGCCTACATGCTCGGATACACGGCTGCAACAATCCAACTGTAATTCCATTGTCGCGCCTTTGATTTTGACCCTCATGCTTGTCTCCCTTTCAGAACTTGTGATTCGATTAGGCACTTCCGGATAACCCAAGATAAACTCTCCATAAAGACCCCTGGCTTAATCACACCTGCAGTGTATCATGGTACAGTGTAAGGCAGCACGATCACAAGTCTCGGAGTCAAGACCTGTGGTCCCCTTTAGGAGGCATTTTCCTTCCTATCAAAAGAACCGTTTTGATTTTCCCAACTTCCACTCACTTTCCAACCTTTTCTAAACAGGTTGATGTTTGCACTCGCTATCCAAAACTCATCTTTCAAGTGCTCCACATTACTTAAATGAATGGGCAGTTGTAGTTGTCCTTCCTGACCTTTTGAGCTTCTGCCTACAGAATGACACTCGCAAAATCGTGATAGGATGTGCGGTGGGGGTGGGCGGCGTAGGCTGCTGCACTGTCCTGTGCGTGGGCGTTTTGCTGTAAATGGTCCCAAGAGAGCCAGTGCTGTGGTGGGGTGGGACCATGTGACAAGAGCGTGAGGATAGGTGATGGCCCAGCGCAGGCCAGGGGACCAAGCAGAGCCCACCTGGGTTCCCTACAGGGAGACCTTGCAGCCCAGGACCTTGGGGGTTTCCGTCTGGCAGGGTGCGCTGTGAGGGTGATGGTGCTGCTTGGGCGAGGAGGACCCTCGGACTCACATTGGTGCCAGACGTTCTTCTCCTGCTCCTGTTGGCTTTGCTTCTCTAAGTGAACTTAACTCAGGGTGGCTGCTTTCACTGTCATCCTTCCTGCAGTTTTCAAGGGTGGAAATAAAGGAGTTCGGAAGTGGAGCTCAGATCTGGGCCGAGCCTGCCTGTAGCTGTTCACAGCCTTCCTTCCTCAGAACACTGTGGATGGGCGAATGGGACCACCCCATGCCGGACTGCTTTGGTCTCTTAGACTGGGTTTCCTGGAAGCCCTAGGAGCTGGCCTGGGTGACTCTTGCCAGGAATTATGTATCCGAGAGGATTTTGAAACTGAGCAGAAGTAAAGGAAGCACGGGTCATCGGTGTGGGAATCCAGGCGTTCTGACATGGCCCTTCCTCTCCCTAGCTCCTCCCTCCAGAGGCCCCTGGCTGCCAACCGTGTCTCCCACACACCTCACCAAAAAGTCCCTGGCAGTGCTCCCAGCAGCCTTGCTGTTGACCTCCTGAGGTGTGAGAAGGAGGAAGGAATCTACGTTTTGGATGAACCTTCCTTTCTCCTTTCTGAGAAATGGTCCGGATCCCAAGGCCTGCCTGCTCCTCCTCAGAGCTCCTCAAAGCTCAGGCCCAGCACGGCTTCTTCAACTTGCCCGAGAAGCATCTGAAGAAGCCGGAATTGGGAGCCTGGCTTAGTCTCCTGGCTGCTGCAACAGATTTCTAAAACTTGGGTGGCTGAACACTTCAGAAATTTATCCTTTCCCAGTTCTGGAGTCCAGAAGTCAGAAATCAAAGTGTTGACAGGGCCTTGTTCTCTCCCTGCTCTGAGGAGAATCCATCTTTGCCTCTTCCAGCTTCCGGTGGTGGCCAGAAACCCTCAGTTTCCTTTGGCTTGTAGATGCATCTCTCCAGTCTTCACACAGCTGTCTCCTTCCGAGTCTCCTCCTCTTCTTCAAGGACAGTACACAGTCATATGGTATTAGGGATCCTGCTTTATGTATGGCCTCATATCTGTAGTGACTCTCATTCCAAATAAGGTACTGTTCTGAAGCTCCTGGTAAACACAAATCTGTGGAACACTATTCAGTCCACAGCAAAGAGCATCATTCCCCTTCCCCACCATAGCACATGTCTTCCCGGCAGGCCTTGCACAGCCCAGAGAGCCCCTCCTGGTTTGCTATCCAGGGCCACGATGAATAGGAATGGTATCCTGAGGTAGAACTGCATCTCTCCCTCCAGGAAGGCCTAGGAGATCAGGGAATGCAAGTCTCCTTCATGACAGGCATCCACATGCCTAAGGACACCCACTCAGCCTATTTTCCTGCTTTAGAAAGGAGCTATCACTCTGTGGCTCCTGGCCAACCCCCTCGTGCTTCCTGAAGGGGAAAGTGTCCTCCCAGCCTCACAATGGGCCACCCCAGAGCGAGGCTCCCAGCCCAGCCATGACAGCTGCCTCCTCCTGCAGCCCCAACTCCGGGCCTCACTTGGGGATCTCTTTACATCCCCTTTACGGAGCACACACCCCACATCTTCCAGACCCAGCAGCCCCTTTTCTGGGGGCACTTATGTCCTCCTGCTTCTAAACCTGCGAAGGACTGGTGGGTTCCTGGGCTTCTTGTAACCCAGCTGAATATTTTCCAGGTTACCTAACCAAACTCCTGCAAAACCACACCGCCTATGCCTGTGATGGGGACCATTTGAATCTCCAGTGCCCTCGGCATTCTACGATAAGTGTCCAATCAGCATTTTATGGGCAAGATTACCAAATGTGTAGCTCCCAGCAGCCTGACTCCCAGAGGGAAGACAGCTTAAACTGTGTGGCACCCACCACCTTGCAGGTATTAACTTTTGTAGATATGTTGTGATCAAATGGCTCTTTCCCTGTCTCTCTCTCCCCTCTCCCCCTCCCTCTCTCCACTTTCCCATATATATTTGTGAAACAAACCTGATCCATGAAAAACATCCCAACTATTCATACAAATCACCAATTTTGAAAGCGAGCTGTTATTTGTGTCTTAAAGGATTCTTTACCTTACAAGTGCAAATAGAATCCTTACCTATTGGAGACCACCCTAGTACGACTGCAACATAAATTTACTTATAGGCAAACACCTTCTGGCAGTGAAGCAAAGAATAACCGTGTTGGGCTTCAACTACCAGGCCTGCACCTCCCACAAATACACTAGCGTGGTGTATTGTGGGAATTCTTTGGTGCAAACTACAAGTTATACCTGTAAAGCAGATATATGAAGTCACAACCAACTTTTCAGACAGTGGACTTCAGAAAGAATAATGTCAGTGACTATCATTAGCTTCCCCCCTTGTAGATAATCATGCTGTTCTCACTTGGAGTTATTTTCAGCAGCCTCTGCTGAATTTGTTCTTATAAATAGAACCAGGAATTGGAGGGAAGGGATTTTAAATCACTTGGGGGATCATATTTGGGAAAAGAATTGGTAGAGGAAAAGATGAAACTAACATTTTAATAATAGTTTTAGAATATTCATGGCTTGAAAATGACCTAAACAACTATTCCACCATCCCTGGCCCCTCAACATTTAACTAATTGGCCAAAATTACTGAATTACTTGGTCTTAGATTTTTTTAATGCCTCCTAAATCCCATATGAAAACATTGAAGGTAGAGTGTTTAGAGCAGGTGTTAAATTAGAAGTCAGTTTTATTTTGTCTGCCATAAGAAACGTAGATAAAGACAAATTTACTAAGAGGACTAAGGAAAAATAGAAGAAGCTTTAATACTCTGTTGTTCTTCCCAAAGTCCAAAGAAGAGAGATAAAAATAATATGACATGTGAAGATTTTTCTGTTTCTCACGCTTTTTTATTACTGTCATTCCAAGAATCTTTGTGTTCAGGTAGCTATGTGATCTGTGAAAACGTCAAGTAGTCAGAAAGAGTGCATTTGAATGAATTTCCTTAACGTGGCTTCCAGACATGTTTCTTTAGGAGGCAGGCGAGTGGTTCGTTTCCTTGTGTGACCCACCCTAGCCCGATGCCTCCTCTCGGTGCTCTGCTCAGGAGAGACATCCCTGTGCGCCTGACCCGTTCCCCACCACTGTCCTGCCTCATCCCTTGTACCCGTACTTCCTGCTGCCCTGCTAAACACAACAGAATAGTGTTGGCCAGTGCCCCAAGGGCAGAAGCTCCTGCTCTGTGAAAGTATGAGCTCCTGGCACGCTGGAGTCCCTGCCTCAGCCAGGTGCCCCCGGGGGAAGAGGATGTTCCATTAGGCTGACAAGTTAGCATTTGTGAACACAGCTCTGATGGTGTTCAGAGAGCTTGTTTGCCAGAAACATCCCCACGCACTGCTTTTTTATCCAGAGATCAAGAGGCCCTTTCCTTTATGACTTTGAAACTACCAGGTGCCGAGGCAAGGTGCTTCCTCAGAGGGGCGGTGCTTAAGGTAGAGAGAGGACAGGTTGACATCCGTACAGGTGACCGCCACTGACCCAGCCCACGGCTGATGTCAACAGAAAGTCCCTCTCGGCATTTTCCAGCTTGTGACAGTTTGGACACAGCCTCTTCTGGCTGCCACTCTGGGGTCTAGTGGGGGGGGCTTCCTTAGTCCAGTCCTAGAGTATTAAGTAGACTTATGGAACTTTTTTGACGGTATGTGATATCTTTTTTTTTTTTTTTTTATGTACTGGGGATTGAACTCAGGTCCTTGCACTGGCGAGGCAGGCAGTGGCGCCACTGAGCTAAATTCCTGGCCCCATGGTATCATTTTTGCCAGGACCAACCTGGGACCTCTGAGTTCATCCCAAGTAGGTTTCTGTTTGGAAACTAGGAGCTGGAATAATAAGACTGGACCTTTCTGGGAACCAGTGTGGGACGCTCTGTGAGCTTCCAAGGTGAAGATTCATTCACAAGTGAGGGAGTTGTTTGGAAAAACCAGGGTGTGTGTGTGTGTGTGTGTGTGTGTGTGTGTAAGCTTTTAGGTCAAATGCTTAACAATGTGTCAGTATTCTACTAAGGGAATCTCTGTACAAGGGAGACATGGGCCCTGTGTCCTTGAGTTTGGTCAGGGTAGGAATCAGCTTGTTTTTGACCTGTCTACTGGTCATGAGCTGGAAAGACTTATGGGGTCTTGAGGACTCCTCCCCATACACTGTGCTCCTTGTGACCAACCTCATGAATGTCCCTAGAGACTGGGAAGGGCCATTTCTAAGGGTGACGACCTATGCTATGATTCCCGGTGGTCATTGTTATTTGGCTTCTAAAGTGAGGGCCCCTCCTCAAAGTCCCCTCCAGTCTGACACTCAAAGGTAACACAGGACCTCACCCATGTCCCCTGGAGCCTCTGTATGTGACACTTTTGCCAAAAGAATCAACAATAGTGCCAGCTGTGGCCGGTTGGGAACTGGCTCTGCTGGATCGGGTTTCTCCCTGTGGGAAGGGGAAGCCCATCAGCCTCAGATATGAACTTCCAACCTCCCAGCTCAGGCTGGACAGGGAGGCAGCCCACTCCTCAGGGCCCAGAGCAGTCCAGATTGGGGGTCTGGTAGACACTGTGTATAGTTTACAAGCCTGTCCCTTTTCTACCCCTCCTTCCTTCTAGAAGGTGCTGGATGAATGCCAGAACCAGCGGGCCTGCCACCTCCTGGTCAATAGCCGTGTCTTTGGACCTGACCTTTGTCCAGGACGCAGTAAATACCTCCTGGTCTCCTTTAAGTGCCAACCTAGTAAGTAACTTCTGAGGGGGGACAGTGTGGTGTTGGGCTGGGTCCTGGTTTCATTGACACTCCTGAAAACTATTCACCCGTGGTGTTTGTCCAATTTGGAAACTTTTAATAGAAAGGTGGGGATGAGCATCCTCAATCCATGAATTTAAAACTAAACCACTTCCCAATATATGAAACTCAGTTGTACTGATGCTAAGAATAGTAGAGGTTGTGAGGAACTGCAGTTACTTTCCCTCAAAATGAGGAGTTAATTCTGCTCTTTGGAGGCACTCTTGTTGGAAGGTTTGATTTTTCCTTGGGGACCAACCTCGTGAATGTCCTCAGAGCCCACGGCCTCAGGTGCCTATGAGCTGCCTCCGCCCTTCCTGGCTCTGGTGACTACGTTCTGTTAGCCATCTTTGTTCCTGAGGAGAATGTGAAAGGACAATGTCTAGAGTAGTCTCTTTCATTCTGCTTCCTGGACTTTTCTCCATCGCCCGTTGCCATTTCTGTGGCACGTTGGTTTTGAGAGAACCAGAAGGGATCACTTTTGTGAGGCAGAAGCCATCACTGTTCAGTGAGAGAATTAGCTTCCAGGTACAGAGGATGTGTCCGGGAGAAACCCCAGGTAACTGCAGCAGGAGACACTCACAAACACTGTGTTGAGGAAAATGATGATGACATAACCAAAACACGCAGGATAGTAATTTTTAGTTTCCCCCACCACCACCCCAACCCAGCCATTTTGATTTTTGCACTTTGTTCCTGGTTGGTTCCATCCAGGAAGCTCAGTGTTCCCTGGAAATGGGGCCTAGGAGCTGGAAGCGGGGGACACCATGAACACTTGAGAGATTCCTGATCCCTTCAGTGAAAATCCAGGCTTCTCCCACACCCAGATGCCTTGGACCTGCCCCTGGAGCTGTACCCAGTACTGTGCACGCCTTCCCTCACTCACACACTCACAGTCACACATCCATGTGGGTGCACACACAACCACACACTCCCGATGCACCCAACAGACACCGCACTTTATCATGCACGCAGACACCATCCTACCCACGTGCCTTATGCACCCTCAAACACAGTCACACGATCGCACACGTCCAGGCTATCACACGCGCTCACTTGCACATGCTCACGCACACACAGCCACATATACCCACCCACACCCGCATGCACACACAATCACAAATGCCCACAAATGGGCCAGGACACCCCCGAGCAGCCAGCCCCACCTTCCCCTGGGAGCCACCGGCGGCCCCACCAACTCCAGGCTCAGTTGCCGGGCCTAGGAAAATCACCTCCGTGTCTCCGTACTCTTTGTGTGCCTCCTGCAGCTGCATCTCAAGCACAAGATGCCTTTGACTGTGTCCTCGACCTCCAGGAGCTTTGCCTTCATTTTCTTTCCCCTTCTGTCCTCCACTTCCCTCCTTCACGGTGAAAAAGAATAGCCCTCTCAAAAGCAGCCCTTGTTCAAAGTGGTAGCAGTGGGTGAATCCAGGTGGTGGGGATATGACTGCGTATTGTGACATTGTTTCACATTTTCTAGGCATTTAAAGCTTTTTATAGTAAAATGTTGGGGGGAAAAAACCCAGCCTCTTAGGGACATCAATCCCTAAGAGATCTGTGCAATCCTGGCAGATTCTTTGTGTATGACTCCATTTTATGTTATTATAATGAGATACCTGAGGCTGGGTGAGTTATAAAGAAAAGAGGTTTATTTTGGCTCATAGTTCTGGTCCAAGGCCAAGGGCTTCTTGGGGCAGAGTCCTAAGGTGGCTCAGGGCATCATATGGTGAGAAGCAGACAATGTGTGTGTGTGTGTGTGTGTGTGTGTGTGTGTGTGTGTGTGTGCTTGTGTGCGCACGCGCGCACCTCCACTGGTCTCTATCCCTCTCCTTGTAAAGCTACCAATATTCAGTCATAGGAGCTGTACCTGGGTAATTTAATCCTAAACACCTCCAAAGGCCCCATTGCTAAACACCATAGCTGGGTTAAATTTCTACCATCTTAATACCTTGCAGTGGGGATTAAACTGCAACATGAGTTTCTGAGAGGACAAACTTTATTCAAACTGTAGCCCTTGGACCCTTCCATGGGGGACCACAGTCTCGTTCCACAGAGTACGGTTTAGGCTGTTTATTAATTTCATCTCAGCCAACACTTACTAAGCACCTGCCGTGTACAGCTCTTGAGCCAGGGCTTGCATACAAAGCAACCTCACATCCCACAGAGGCTTCCTGAATGGCGGTTCTCTTCTTTTCCTACACCCCTTCCAGAGCAGTTTCCACCGCTCGTTCAATGAATACTTATCGAACTTTTCCATCGCTTGCTCCTTACCATTGCTTAGGTTCCAGCCAGAGAATACCTTTCTCGGGTGATGTACTTTGTCCAAAAATATATAGTGAAGACCCCACCGCTCTCATGCTGCCACCATCTCTTTCGATGAAAGCCACTTCGCCATTTGGACTTACGCTGCTCATTTGTGACTTGTGGGTTACTTTACACACACATACCCCATCAAAACTGTAAGTGTGCAGATGGCAGGGACTCCGTTGCTCACCATTGTGAGCCCAGCACAGTGTGGGAGTTGAGTGCATTTATGGAACACACGCTCACCGACAGAAGCCAGGTGTGGTAACCGGAGCTCACAGCCTAGCGGGACTGGAAGTTCAAGGTGGAATCACAGAAACGCATGCAAGATTTGGAATGGGTCATGGCTTCCACAGAGGCACTGGATTCCACGCAGAGAGCTCGTAGAAGGCACTGACCTCCATCTGGTTCTGGAGCACTTTCCTGAGCAAGTGATGCTGCCGCTAAAAACTGCAGGGGTAGAGGTGGGAGAACTCAGGAAGAGCAGCCCATCCTGAGTCTCGAGGCTGGAGGTGGCAAGCGCCTGGCACAGGCAGGGAAGAAGGCGGGAGGACTGGGGCTGAGAGGCAGCATGGAGCCCAGGCTGGAGAGCTGGAGCAGGATCCAGTGCCCTCATGGCCAAGGAGCGGGTTTGGAGTCTGTCTGCCAGGTTGCATCTCCATAAGGCAGCGTGTAATGAAGTCATGGAACCACCCCTGCTGCCTGTGGAGAAAAGGTGGGGCCAAAGCCCTGCGGAACTTACTGAGGCACGGCAGGCTGAGGCCTCCGAATTTTGCAGGTGGAAGGGAGACATTGTTCACATCCCCTGTCTCTAGCTGCAGCCCTCCTACTTCCTGGGGCTCTTCTTTGTCTCCCCAGTTCCATCTCTGTGTCACCCTAGATCTACCCTGCACCCCGCAATGTGCAGAGCGATTATGCACCTCTCTCCCAGCTCTGCCTGTGTCCTGTAAAACCACCAGGGGAACTGGCAAGTGCTACAAATCAGGGTGGTTGGTTGGCTTCCTGGAGAGCTAGCCAGTCTTTACTGGGAACTCTTTTCCTTAGTGTGATTCATGTTCCCTCGACTCCTCAAATCTCAACCTTTCAGGGGATGTTGGTTTCATCAGATGGGGATTTAGGCAGTTCTGGGATCGGATCCCTCTCTGCTGTCAGTCGCTGTGTGATCTGGACAGTACAAGGATGTCTTCTGAGGCTCTGGGACTCCACTGTAAATGAAGATGACGCCTCTTCCACACGGGGGTGTTGAGAAGACTGTAAATATGCAGCGTCCTAGGGAAAATGCTCAGCCCAGAGCTTACTGTGGAAGTGAGCTCAGTCACTGGTAGCTGTTGCCCCAATAAGCAGATTAAGGTAATTCTTGCCAAAGCTCTGAAGGACTGAAAGGCAGTAAGGTACCAAGGGCAGAGGTGGTGAGTGGCGTGGTCTGTCCTGGGTGCATGGCAGGGTGCTTTGCCTGTGCAGAATTTAAAACAGAGTACAAGAGAGCAGCGTCTGTCTGCATTTTACTACCACCACGCACTGGCAATCTCAAGCAGTGCCAGTAATAAAACATTCTTATCCAGACGGGCCACCCCCTCCCGCCACCTTTGAAAGGCCATTGCTAATAGGCAGATGTGTACGAATGTCCCCAATTTAGGATAGTGGCACACGGTGGTGCAAAGATGACACACATTCAGTAGAAACCATGCTTTGTATTTTTAAATTTAATTTTATTATTTTTTGGTGCTGGGGATTGTACACAGTGAATTTCGGGTTCTGATCATTCCCTAAACCAGCCTTATGCAATAGGATCTTCTCCTACAGTTCTGGCCCCAGTCAGCCATCCGATCACAACCTCAAGCAGCAGATTCTCAATGGTGCACCATGCTCTTAAGCTTCCAGGTTCAGTACATCGGGGCTGTGAAGTACTTTAAATTCTGATTTATTTAAAAAGGGAAAAATATTTTTCTTTTTCTTTTTTTTTTAAGCTTACAAACCGGGCACAGTGGTACATGCCTATACTCCTAGCACTCAAAGAGGCTGAGGCAGGAAGACCACAAGTTTGAATTCAACTTGGACAATTTAATTTAGCAAGACCCTATCTCAAAACAACAACAAAAAAAACACACACACAAAAAGGGCTGTAGCTCAGTGGCGGTGTGCCACTAAATTCAACCCTCTAGGACTGAAAAAAAAAAAAAATGAAAGGGCTGGGGGTAGAGGCTGAGGGGAAGACCACAAGTTTGAATTCAACTTGGACAATTTAATTTAGCAAGACCCTATCTCAAAACAACAACAAAAAAAACACACACACAAAAAGGGCTGTAGCTCAGTGGCGGTGTGCCACTAAATTCAACCCCCTCGGACTGAAAAAAAAAAAAA